ATTTAAAATATAGGATGATTGTTATTCACAATCATCTTATCTCTTTTTAATTTAGGTTTGAGACACTTTTCCTCTTTCATTCCATTGTCTTCATCTAATATCTTCTTCGAGTTCTCTATAGCTTCTTTTTTGTCCTTCCCATCGCATTCAAGAATCCTCACTCGCATTCAAGAATCTCTTCTAGGGTTCGTTCGAATCCTTCATTTTCCACTCCATTTTAGTCAATTGAAGCCATTTTATCATTCATATTATTGGGACTTTACCAATTTCATTTAGTCTTCATGGGTTCCTATTCTTCAATTAGTCGCGCCCTCATGTTCTTGCTTATTAGAGTGCTTTCACTAGTAAATTTACCCTTCTTCTTCCTCTCTTCTTACTGTCGAAGCTCCTCTGCCCACTTTAATCACACTTATCATTCAAATCCCCCTCTTCTTCCTCTCTTCACTCTCATGAAATCCAGTTTTTTTTTATTCTAATTGGTAGTTTGGTATTCAATTTTGTTCACTTGCACAAATTAATTCAACCTCTCCTTTATTTTTCCTATATAGTGTTGGAGCTCTAACTCGTTGGCAGAAAATTTTCTAGAAGGTTGTTGCAAATTTGTGGTCATGTCATTCTTAGACTGTGGTTAGTGTTCTAAAATCCATTGTGGGTTAATATGAAATGGGATGGATTTATGGATGCTATTTTGTTATGATATTAAGTTAAATTTTAATGAGGATTGAAGTTTGAGAAGTCTTGTGTCCTTGTTTAGATGTTGGGAGTTGATTGATGAACACTTTAAACTTGTGGACCTTGGTATGAATTGAATGTTGGCTTTCCTTTCAAATGTTTGTTGAAATATTCAAGAAGGAAATATAAGGGATGCTATTGATATTATTTATATGAATTATGCATTGAAATAATTGGAATGTAAGGCTAAGTTTATTATTTTTTTTAACTTGCTTGATCATAGTTGAATTATAGGTAATTGGGATTGTTGTTGACTTTGAATGACATATGGAAATAATGTTGTCTAAAATAATTGGGATTGTTGTTGGTGACTTTGAATGATATATGGGAATATTATTTTGTTATCTTGCTTTGCTATATAAATTGGTTGTACAAATGGAGGGGATTTGTTATTCTTCCTCTTTAATTAGTTTAATATTTTATTTTTATCATTGTTTGGATATATAACGTGTAACCTATTTATAAATTATAAAGATTGATTGTATGAAACAAGAAAAATTAACGGTTCTAGAAAAGCCGCACCTTAATGTTAATCGTTCTAGATTAAGCTTACCTTTTGCTTTTGTTTGTAGTTGTTATAATGTTGAATGTCGTTTGGATTAGATTGTTGGGTTGAGTTAGGCTTGATTAGATTGTATAGGATGAATTTAAATATAGAGAGAGAGCTAGATGCTCAGGAAAGTTTCAATTTTAAGCCGTTATATTACTAACTTTTTGATTGAGAGTACTAACAACTAATTTAATACAATTATTAGTATTCCCTTTAATTTAGATTAAATAGGGAAGATATGCGTGTGCGCGATCGTGTGAAATCATGCGGCTTATAAGGAAGTTAGTAGTTAATTTATTTATTAGTTTAAACTTACAATGATTAAGCCACTCATCACATTTCCCTCAACAATTTGTGATAATAGATTGAGAGTATGGATGAGAGGAATAGATATCTGCACATCAATAATTGAGGGAATATTTGGAAGGGGTGAGCCACTATATTAAGGTTAGCATTGAATATAAGAGAGGCAATGAAAGCATTATGTGGCCTTGTCTAAGGTGTGTACTTATAATGAGGATGATCACTGCACAAGAATTGGAAGAGCATTTAGTGGTTAATGAAATTGTTCAAAGTTGTAAGTGTTGGTATAAGTATGGAGTGGCAAGGGACATGACTAGAAGTATCTGTAGTTTTATGTTAGATGATTTTGATACAAGTATAGATATGGTAGATCATGTTGAAGAGATGGTTAACACGATTGAAGTGAAACTCTATTGCCAAAAACAAATTAAAACATGCTGGCAAAATATGCGTGATTGTTTCTTTGCAAGGGGACCAACTAATAGTTGAAGTACGTGCATTAGTGGATTTTTCTCTTAAGACAAGGAATGCTCTTTGGAAAGTTCAAGGAAGTAGATCAACTAAGTCTATGTAAAATGTTAGTTGGAAAAAATTGCCCCCTAAACTGGGTGACGCTTAATTGTGACGGTGTAGTCAAAAGTAGAAATGGTTGAGCGGGTGCCAAATGTTTGGTATGCAACAATGATAGCTTTTGGATCCATGGATGTTGTCACAACATTGGTGTGTGCATCCTTTATAAGCAAAAGTATGGGCTATGTCTAATGGCTTGAATATGGCATGGGAACAAGGTTTTAGAAAGGTTAAGCTAGATATTGACTGTCTGTTAGTAATGTCTCTTTTATCACAAGATACCACCTTTGTGAATGCCAACAGTCGACTGATTTTGCAAATCCACTCCCTCCTACATAAAGGATGCCAAGTCAAGATTAATCGCTTCTATCATGAAGAAAATAAATGTGCTGACTCCTTGGCTTCTTTTGCTATTACCATAAACATGAGCATGCATGATTTGGATCATCCACCAGATGATTTGATGAAGCTCTTGCAAGACAATGCCTTGGGAGTTGACCAAATTTGCATTTTTAATAATAGACCCAGATAGTTGGGTATTCTCCTTTTCTTAACCAAAAAAATGTCAATCTTGGCATTATTTTTCTAAGAGGATATAATATAATTTTTATTTTTAAATTAATAAATAATTCTTTACGTTTAAATTTGGTCCATTAATAACCATTCGTTGGTTGACATGGATTGAAATTTGACGAAAGCCACTAATAATTAAATTTTTCCTTCAAATTATAAAGCTTTGTTAATTGAAGATTCCACCGCGTGATTAGATGGGTATGCAGGATGCCAATATCTACATTCCCCTCAACAATTTAGGTTCAATAACAAGCAACTCACACTGCCAATGGTGATTAAGTTGTGTGGAAGATTATCCTTTCAAGTAGCTGTTGGTTCAAGTTTTTTTAAATAAAAAAAATCATATGCATATCATTTAGCTAAGTATGCCTGACAAATACTCGAATTTATTTGACTTCTTAATATGAATATTAAATAATACTTTCATTTCAAATTATAAGACATTTTTGGAAGAAATTTAACATTTTAAAATATAAAACTCTTTGATAAAAATAAGATTTTATTAATGATACTTTTTTAATATTACTCTTTTCATATATTCTTCGTCTATCTAATATTCTTTTACAAATAGAGTATTAAATAAAGGGCATCTTTGAAATTTATATATTTTTTAAAAAATAATGTTGTAAAGTATATTTAATGAGTTTGATTAATATGTGTGATTTTGTCTTAAAAATATTTTATAATTTGAGACTAAAAGAAGTGCTATATTGAGTTATTTTGGATAATCAACTATCCTCTAACATCTGTAACCATGAGAAACTAATTAATTTCATTCAGTTTTTGATGGGATTTAAATTGGATGAGTAGTCTAAATACACTTACTCAATGAGTGTCTTAATTATAATAATTGAATTTTATCAATATTTAAAAATTATTAAGATATATTTCTTATTAAAAATTCAAAGCCATCATCACGATTACTGAAAAAAGAACACTCCTTGTCTCCAAAGAAATTTAAAATTTGATATTTTATGAACATTATATGGATTAAATCGAAAATTAGATCCTATTCTCGTTCTCCAATCAATTGGGCGGGGGGGGGTAATTTTATTCGATGTTGCATGAGGTCCAATACGTAACAGTCATTAGTATTCCAACAAATCCTAAATCTGAAAGCATCTAGTTCTAGATGAGGGAATAAATTCCAATAAAATAGCACTCCAAGGAATATGAAGTAATCCTCTTTTGATCAAGACGAAAGATGGCATTGTTTAATGAATAATAACATTGTGGTTCAAAATTGGAAGGGAAATTAATTATTATTTCTAGTAGTTGATAAGTCTCTAAGAAACATTCCTTAAAAAAAGTATAAAAATGAATCAGAATAATTAAGTTTACAAGTGTAAAAATATTCTAAAGCGCGCACTATGTATATGTCCTTTTGAATTCGCAAGAGTTCAAACTTGAGTAGTGAAGGTTAATTAATTATTAATTAATAAAAACTATTCTTATATATACCATAGAATCACATAGTAGGGGGTTAAAGTTTTATTACCATTGTAATATTTCATTAATAAACACGTAAGTATCTTTAAGATCTAACTCAAGGACATTTTTTAAAAGAAAACATTTATACACATCTTACGTATCATTAATTAATATCAATATATTTTAAGTGTTTAACAAGCATAAGTTATAGACCCCTAATTAATTTGGATTTTTTCTGGAAAAAAAATAGTTTGGATTTTTGCAAAGAGCGGTGCCCCTAAATAAGACTTAGCTTTTTTAACTTGATTTGTGTATTTACACCACTCAAATTCAAGCATTCGTGTTCTAGTCCTTTCTATTAGAACCAATAAATATAAATGGAATTAAAAAAAAAAAAGCCTTTTTTATTTCTTCTTTTCTCTTCATATACTGCCTTTATTCTAATTTATAAGACATTTTTTGATAAAAGTATGTATACCAATTAATATAGTTCATTAAATATATTTTATGATATTTTTTAAACACAAATATGAATTTAAAAAAAATAAATGGAGGGAATATATATATATAAAAGAGGATATCTAAAATAGTTTAACATCAAATGAGGAGTTAAACAAAGAGGATAGTTGTCAAAATTTCTCCCCATACATTTTTGGACACCAAGTAACCTCCAAAAGCGTGACGGAGGGAGGCGGGGAGTAATAAATTGAAAAGGGTAAAAAGATTGAAGAGGGAAGGGATGACGTGGAAGAGTAGATGAGGGGCAGAAGCAACGGTGGAGATTGGAGGAGAGGGTAGAGTCATCCCCTTTATCAGGCACCGTCACTTCCCACCTTCCGTTCTCACTCTCTCATAACTCACTCACGCAGTACTGCGTCTAGCTATGAGTTTGTCTCACCTCTAACACTAAACCAATCTCTCTCTCTCTCTCTCTCTCTCTCTCTCTCTCTCTCTCTCGTGTAAACCAGCTACCTGCTAATCGTAACTGTGCCAGTACGTATTTGATTTCGGCGACTACCTATATATCTGCATACGAGCCCTGACCCAAGAGGAGGAGGAGGAACAAGATGTTGCTGGGAAAGCGTGGAGGAGGTGCGATTATCAGAAGAACAAGCAGCATGAGTGGCATGAACATAGACCTCGACAGCACAGAAACCCACCAGGAATTACCATCTGATGATCCCATGATGTCTCGTCATCATCATCCCATGGTGTCCCCGAGATATTCCAACATCGCCATCGACACTACACCTCACTTCCTTCGAACCTGTCGGCTCTGCAACCGCCGTTTAGCCCCTGGCCAAGACATCTACATGTACAGGTACACATAAACCTAGATAGCCTAGATCCATATCGATCTGTTGTTTCTTGTAATTTTGGTTTTGTTTTTTTATTGATTATTGTTGGGATGAAAAAAATCACAGGGGGGACACAGCATTTTGCAGCTTAGAGTGTAGGGAGGAGCAGATGAAGCAGGACGAGAGGAAAGATAAGTGGAATAAAGTGACTTCTAAGAAACAGCAAGACTCTACTTCTTCTTCTACCTCCACCTCCAAGGCTTCCACCAAAACTCACACTGTCGTTGCTGCTTGAATAATTATGTTCTCTCTTTCTTGGATTTTATATAAATCCCTCTTTGATTTCTACTTCGGATCCTTAGCTATATATACATATCTGCCTCTGATTTGTATAACCATCTATCTCTCTCGCTCTCTACCTCACACCTCTTCTTTTAATCTATCTGAAATTAGTTTTCTGCAGTCTCTCTCTAGCTTGATCCTCTTCACTACATCTGCAAAACCATTCTTTGACTGTGGTTCTTCATTTTTGGTTGATCTGATTAAGCAAACCAAACTAAGGGAATGATTAATCAGTAATTTTAAGACAGAAAATTAAAGTTGAATTATATTGGGGGAGATTTAAATATATGATATAATAATTTTGAAATTGAAAGACAGAGCCGGTGGATGGATGGCTTTATTGATTAAATCTGGAAAGCAACACATCAATTACGTTTGATTTGTGTCCCACGAGCGCAAAAGTCCATGACCATATCGAAGTAATCATGTCCACATACATACATACATACATATCTATATATATATATATATATTTATATGAGTAAATTAGTGCTTGCTATTAATAAGTATCTCAATGAATATACCATATATACTATACAATTTTAAGCATTCAATCTAATTAAGGTGATTTTATTCTAAATCAGTTAGGTCATGCTTACTAGAATAGAATTGATTGAAAAATAAAGATAAAAATAAGATGATCAAAGGAGATATGTGAGCATATTTACAAAGAGAAGGGTTTTTTCATTCATAGAGTTGAGAATCATGATTCATAAAATTTTTAGAAGATGTAAAAATTTTTACATTTATAATATATATTAATAAATGTTATCATGTTTACTATGAGGAAAAGGGTGATTTACTTTATTTGTGTTTTTATCTTTTTAATTTATTCTATTCTAATAAGCAAATGTAATCTTATATTTTTATGCAAGTTCGCCTCCACTGCTCATAATGCTTGCGGTAGTTTTTGATTATTTTTTAATAACTTCTGTAGTTTTAATTTAATTTGTATAGAATTCAATTTTAAGAACAGATAATATGGATGAAGTGGGGATTTTATGGGTGCAGCTCCCCCTAATGAAGTAGCTATACAAAACACACGCACCTGTAAAAATCGGGTCAATACCTGATCAATTGAATTAGTGTCTTGGTCTATCAGCTCAATTGAAATAATTTGTTCATAATTGATCTAATCACCGTTTGACAAAGACAATTTAACAATTAACTGTTTGAATCAATAACTCAATCAATTCAATGGCTGATCTAATTTTTGATACCTTGGTATAAACATACCGTGCGAGCGCATTAAGAATCTTACCAATTAAACGACTAGAACAGTGGGTTTTACTGAGTCAGCGTCTGCTTGCTTATCGGTATTTTAATTTATGCTACAATAACCAACATTTATCAATTAATATCATAAATATTCATGTAAAAATGTTATACTACATGTTTAAAACCATTTAGTATTCGAAATCAGATTTAATTTGTTGGGGTCAAGCCTCAAATGGAGGGTATGGCTTCTGTAAAGTCTTTTGCATACATGAACCGATCCAATCGACCTTTTACTTAAACAGCCATATAGCTATTTTTACTAAGACAAGAAACTATTAGTTATGTTCATACTATTTACAATTTACAAGTCGTGTGGCTTATTTCTGAAATTCAATCAGTATAAAAACGGGATCTAATTTAATTGATTTATTGCTGCACTATATATATATTTTTTAATTTGAATACTTAACTTGTATATATCTATATACAGACCAAACAAAACAACTTCGCTGTCTTTGGTTCTGGCGGTCTTATAAGGAAAATGAAATAATATTCACTTTATGATGTACCAAGTTAATAATAGTCTGAAAATTTGCTTTCACAGCAGCAAAAAGGTGAGACCCCAAAAAATTAAAAATAAAATAAAGAAAGAAAGGTTGTCGACGAAATGCAACAAAACAGAAACAAGTGTTGGCTTCGTATTGAAATGCGACATGACACATGATAAGAAGCAACGAAGAAAACAAATATAAGAATCTTATAGAGTTGTGATATATATATATATATATATATATGATTTCTTACATACTCCATTTTCATCACTACCCTCCAATTGAATGCTATATCTGAGGCATACATCATCGGCCACCACCCCTTCCTTTTCCTCTAAAAAAAATAATTAATTAACGAAGGAGAGGCTTCAAAACACATAGATCATCAAAGATCAATTCATCACCTTTATGTGTGTGTGTGTTTTGTGATGTCAAGAAGCACTCTTTTTCTTTCTTTAAAATTACTGTATTACTTTTTCTTTGTCCTTCGTTTTTTTATGAATATGATGACTTTTTTTGTTGGGCAGCTCTTCTATTGCGCATTAAATAAAATCACCTAGTTATGAGCGCCTGTAAAGAGGACCATCTCTTCTATTCACACTTTTGTATTTGTCTTATAGATTTGGAAAAATTGATCACTTGGAAATATAGTTTCCACTCATGGTTAAATTTTGGTACTATTCTTTCACTATACTCTGACTTATACAATTACTATGATTTTTAAACATTTAAAATTTTATCCTTACATTTAAAAAAATAAAATTATAAAAATAAAAGTTTAATTACTACTCTCTCCGTTAAAAAATGTAAGGCATTTTTTAAAGAGTTAAATATTCAAAAATGTAAGGTATTTTTAGTCTTTTGAGATATAATCATTTCTTTTTTTTTCAAAAGTATTCCTATTAATAAATTACTTTATATTTATTATAGGATATTCAATGAGAATAAATATGAAAGATATAGTTAATTAGAAAATAAGTAACTACTTTATTGGAGTGAAATTCAGTTAAAAATGTCTTATATTTTTTAATAAAAGGAGTAAGTTTTAACTATAAGTCAAAACTATAATAATTTAATTATACCAAGATCAACCATATCTCAAGTATAATTATTTTTAATAAAAGAATACATATATTCAATAAAAAAATTAATTAGTTAAAACGAATCAAATTTTATAAACCATTAGGAATCAAGGCTTAACTTGCTTTTCTGTGTGTTTCTTTTTTGTCTTTTTAACATCAAAAGATTTAAACCCTAATTAGTAAGGGCCTATTTGATAACTTATTTTAAAAATAATTTTTTATTCTTCAGAATAAAAGAATAAAAAAAATTATTTGGTAACATATTGTCAAAAAATGTTTTAAAGTACAAAACAATAAAATATTATTTTAGAGAATAGAAAAATAAAAATAACTTTCAAGTGTTCTGGGATTATTATTCAAAAAATAAAGAAGAATAAAAAAAATATTTATTTTCATCATTTTTTTCTCAAAACATATTTTAAAAATTAATAAAATAAAAATAATTTTAAATCTTCTCTAAATCTTTAGTGAGTTATACCTTGTTTTCTCTACTTGAAGTTATATGCAAACAAAACTCCAATTAAGACTTTTCTTTTGTGTGGTGCGAAATAAATGCGACCCACCATTTTGTACTAGCTAATTATTAGTTTTTTTTATAGCAAATTTAAGTATTTTGATACTTCATCGCGCAATTCAAGAGCATATACGTACTCTATTTGTCTTAAAAAACTGCTCTATTATTGGTGTTGTTTTAGATATCCAAAGAAAACAAAACCTACAAGGGCCGCTAGGTTAAGTGGAAGTGGCTTGACTTCTCTTGATCAAAGTTAAGAATTAAATTTTATAGATGAAAAAAAATCACATTAGAATAATTACTTAAAAAATGACATTAAAACCCTTTGAATTGTATAAACAACAATCTAATCTCTAAAAATATCATAATTCTATTAAAATTTTTAAGAAATTTTGTTCATTGATGAATTTACATAAATAATCAAATTGTCATTGTAACAATATCAAGAATTTAATCATTTACATAAATTCATTAACAACAAAAAAGTTTTTAAGGATTTCAGTAAAATTATGACATTTTGATGATCCAAATTGTCATTTATATAATTCAAAGGGATTTTATTGTCACTTTTTCATAATTACTCCCAATTAAATCTATAATAGTCAAATCTAATCTCATAATACCATAGGCAAAAGTATACATTTAGTCATTTAACTTTACTTTACATAATATTTCATTTTGATTCCTTAATTAATTTTATAAAGTGTTTTGTTTTAGTCTTGTAACCTTGACATCATTAGTTTCATTTTTACATGTAAACTTTTAAATATTAACAAAATATTCTCAAATGTTGACATATTTAGTTTAATTTTTTAAAAAATAATAATGATTAGCATAAAAAATAATCATTTAAAACTAATAATATTAAGATTAAATAACTAAAAAGATACTTTATAAAATTAAGTAGTTACATTAAAACCTTCTATAAAGTTTGAAGACCAAAAGCATACTTTAGCATAATATTTGATTTTTGTAAAACAAATGTAATTGTTTTCTTAAGTTTGACAAGAGAAATTAAGTAATTTAATGTTAATTTTTTTGGTAAGTGAATATATACACATTTTATTGAAGCTTTGCTTATTCAAAAATACAAGGCATTAAGTAATTTTTATAAAAATGATGTATTGAAATTTTAATTGGCATTATTAAGACGCTTGTATAAAAAGTTTTACAACAATAGAAATGAAAATATGCAAAAAAATTGAAGACATTAAAATTTCACCCAACTTTTAAAAAAAAAAAGAAATAGTGAAGCAATTACAAACGTCTTATATTATGGTTGAGATGGAGTAATCTGGATTCTTAAGAGGGGCCTCAAGGGCTTTGAACATTTATGATTTGGAGGAAAGAGTTGAATAAAGGAGCAGTTTATATTATGAATGCCATAGGCGATCGGATGTTGAAAATCAATAATGAAGTTTGTCATCGAGCATGCATGCATACATGCGTGTATATATATATATATATATATTTATAGGACCAGAAAATTGAATTAATAAAGTTTTCGAATGCGTGAGAGGTGGACGTTGCTTTGGAATGTGGAAAAAGAAGACTATTGGGAACATTTAAAAACTGAAAGAGACTGCTTTGGGGCTATGTGAAGATGAAGAATTAATGGTTTGTAATAATAATAAATTCCTCTTTAATTTGCACATCTTTAAAATAAATGTTCTGCAGGATACATATATGATGATTTTGAACCATTCAAAATTTCAAATTTTACATGATTGTTCAGATTCTGTTAATTATGTTTTT